GGAACATCCATGCCACTGGGTAACAGGTCCCCATAGAGCCACTCTCAGACTCCCCTATATTCCTATCCATATGAGTGCTTGTTATAATAAATAAGCCTACGGTCTACCTTTATAACAATTAATCCCATAATTAAACATATAATCTAAAAAGTGGCTGAATATTACTTGCAAATGGAATAAAAAATATGCATTTTAAACAACCTTTTGTTAAAGCAAAGAAGCAACAACAGAGCCCTTGTGGCTTATAAAATAATCTGTCAAAGTATTTCTAAAAAGATCCTGTGGCAGGCAGAATAATGTTCCCTCCTTCCCCTAAAAGATATTCTTGTGTGAGATCCTGGAATCTGGGAGTATGTTATACATGGCAAAAAAGGATTCAGGCTGCAGATGGAATTAAGGATTCTAATCAGCTGACTTTAAAACTGGAAGATTATCTTGGATTATCCGGGTAAACCCAATGTAATCACAAGGATCCTTAAAAGTGGAAGAAGCAGGCAGAATATGATGTTCAGAGGGAAGGAAGGAACAAATGATGAAGGAAGGATTTGTAAGGAAGAAACAGATGATGCAGTATGAGGACTTGACCTGCTATTGCTAGCTTTACAGACAGAGGAAGGGAGCCACAAGCCAAGGAATGTGGACAGCCTCTAAAAGTTAGAGAAGACAAGGAAACAAGTTCTTCCCTAGAGTCTGCCCACATTTTGACTTTAGCCTAGTGAGATTCAAGCTCACTTCTAACTCACAGAAATGTAAGATAATAAATTTGTGTTGTTTTTTTTAAGTCACTACCATTTGCAGTATGGTTTTCCAGTAGTCATGTATGGGTGTGACAGTTGGACCATAAAGAAGACTGAAGGCCAAAGAATTGACGCCTTAGACCTGTGGTGCTGGAGAAGACTCTTGAGAGTCCCTCGGACTGCAAGGAGATCAAACCAGTCAATCCTAAAGGAAATCAACCCTGAATATTCACTGGAAGGACTGATGCTAAAGCTGAAGTTCCAATACTTTGGCCCCCTGACGTGAAGAGTTGACTCACTGGAAAAGACCCTGATGCTGGGGGAACTGAGGGCAAGAGGAGAAGGACTGACAGAGGATGAGATGGTTGGATGGCATCACTGAATCAATGGATATGAGTTTGAGGAAACTCAGGGAGTTAGTGATGGACAGAGAAGCCTGGCAGGCTGCTGTTCATGGGGTTGCAAAGAATCAGACGTGACTTAGTGACTGAACAACAACAACATTTGTGGTAACTTGTCAACAGCAGCCACGGAAAGATTAATCTAGATTCCCAAATGATACTAATAACAGTCAGAAACAACTGCAGTTATAAATGTTTCAGGTCAACTGGATGAGCTAATAATATGTAAATTGCCAATATTGTATTCCTTGGCTAACCACACCAAGAAAAAAAGAGAGAGGACTCAAATAAATAAAATCAGAAATGAAAGAGATATTATAACTGATATCAGAAACACAAAGGATAAGAGACTACTATAATACAATTATATGCCAACAAAATAGACAACCTAGAAGAAATGGGTAAATTCCTAGAAATATACAACCTACAAAGCCTGAATCTTGATGAAATAGAAAATCTGAACAGATAAACTGCTAGCAAGAAAGACTGGATCAATAATCAAAAACCTCTCAAGAAACAAAAGCCCATGACCAAAATTCTTCACTAATGAATTCTATGAAACTTTCAAAGGAGAACTAAAACAATTCCTTTTTAAACTCTTCCAAAAAATAGAAGAGGGGGAAATTTCTAAATACATTTTAAAAGGCCAACATTGCCCTGGTACCAAAACCAAACAAGGATGCCACAAAAAAAGAAAATTACAGACCAATATCCCTGCTGAATATAGATGCAAAAACCCTCAACAAAGTATTAGTAAACCAAATTTAACAATAAATTAAAAGGATCATAAACCATGATCAAGTGGGATTTATTGGAGGAATCCAAGACTGGTTCAACAACTGCAAATCAGTTAATGTTAACCACCATGTTAACAAAATGAAGAGTGAAAAACCATGTGGTTATCTCGATATAGAGAGAAAAAGCACTTGACAAAATTCAGCATCCACTTACGATACAAATTCTTAACAAAGAAGGTATAGAGGGAATGTATCTCAACATAACAAAGGCTATATATGACAAGATCACAGTTAACATTATACTCAATGGTAAAAAGCTGAAAGTTTTTCCTCTGAGATCAGGAACAAGACAAGGATGCCTGCTCTCCCCACTTTTATTCAACATAGTATTTGGAAGTCCTAGTCACAGCAATTGGGCAAGGGAAAAAAAGGCATCTAAACAGGGAAGAAGCAAAACTGACACTATTTGCAAATGACATGATATTATACATAGAAAATCCTGAAGATGCCATCAAAAACTGTTAGAACTAATAAATTTAGGAAAATTGTAGGCTACAAGATCAACACAAAACCCTTCATTTCTCTATACTAGTAATAAACTATCTGAAAGAGAAATGAGGGGAAAAAATTCTATTTACAATTATAACAAAAGAATAAAATATCTAGGAATAAGTTTAACTAAGGAGGTGAAAGGTCTGTATACTGAAAACTATATGACATTAATTAAAGAAACTGAAGAAGACACAAATAAGTGGACAGATATTCTGTGCTCATAGATTGGAAGAATAACTATTGTTAAAACGTCCATACTACCCCAAGCAATGTACAGATTCAATGCAATAGCTATCAAACTTCCAATGGCATTTTTTACAGAAATAGAACAAACAATCCTAAAATTTGTGAGGAACCAGAAGACCCTGGATAGCTAAAGCAATCTTGAAAAAAAGGAACAAAGCTGGAGGCATCACATGCCCTGATTTCAAACTATACAACAAAGCTAGAGTAATTAAAATAGTATGGTACTAGCATAAAAATACAGACACAGATGGATGGAACAGAACAGAGAGCCGAGAATAAAACCTGTACACTTACAGTCAATTAATTTACAACAAAAAAGCCAGGAATATACAATGGGGAAGAACAGTCTCTTCAAAAAATTATATTAGGAAAATGGTACAACCACATGCAAAAGAATGAAATTGGATCACTATCTTACACCATACACAAAAATTAACACAAAATCAGAGACTTGAATCCATAAAACCTTGAAATCATAACTTGAATCCATAAGACCTGAAACCATAAAACTCCTAAAATATAAGAGAGACAGTAAGCCTCTTGACACAGGTCTTGGCAGTAATTTTTTGATTCTGACAGCGAAAGAACAAAAGTGAAAATTAACAACTGAGACTACATCAAATTAAGAAGCTTCTTCACAGCAAAGGAAGCTATCAACAAATGAAAAGGCAACCTACTGAATGGAAGAAAATAACTGCAAACCATTTATCTGATAAGGGGCTAATATCTAGAATATACCAAGAATTCATACATTTTAGTACTAAAAAGCAAACAATGCAATAAAAATGGGCAGAAGATCTGAATACTCATTTTTCCAAAGAAAACATACAGATGGCCAACAGACACATAGAAGAAACTCAGTATCGTTAATCATCAGAGAAACATGAATCAAAATCACAATGAGATATCATTCCACACCTGTCAGAATGGCTATCGCCAATAAGATAAGAAATAACAAGTGTTGGCAAGGATGTGGAGAAAAGCAAACCCTTGTGTACTGTTGGTAGCGAACCCTTATGTACTGTTGGTAGGGATGCAAATTAGTGCAGCCACTATGGAAAACAGTACTTAGGTTCCTCAAAAAACTAAAATTAGAACTACCATTTGATCCAGCAATCTCATTTCTTATCTGAGGAACTGAAATCATTAGCTCAAAAGGATAGCCATACCCCCATGTTCATTGCAGCACTATTTACAGTAGCCAAGATATGGAAGCAACCTAATCCTAACAATGGGTAAATTGTGGAATACATATGCAATAGAATATTACTCAGGCATAAAGAACAAAATCTTGCCAATTGTGACATGTTTTGATTGTGAGGATATTATGCTAAGTGAAGTAAGTCAGATAGAGAAAGACAAATACTGTATGATCTCTTATATGTGGAATTAAAAACAAACAAAAAAAACAAAAACCAAAAAAACCAAGGAAACAGAGAAGAGACTGGTGGCTGCAAGAGGTCGGGGTGGGAGAAATAGTGAACTTTTTTTTTTTCTGTTTTTAGTTTATATAGATTGAATAAAAAGTTTTTAAAAGCCTAAATAAAAAATAAACCTATAGGTGCTCATTCAAAGAATTTTACTGGTATGTACTTGAAACATAGCTTTTTGTCTTTGTTCATTTTCCGTCCTGTTTAACAATGATGTATAGCCCCACTCCAGTACTCTTGCCTGGAGAATCCCATGGATGAAGGAGCCTGGTAGGCTGCAGTCCATGGGGTCACTAGGAGTCGGACACACTGAGTGACTTCACTTTCACTTTTCACTTTCATGCACTGGAGAAGGAAATGGCAACCCACTCCAGTGTTCTTGCCTGGAGAATCCCAGGGACGGGGGAGCCTGGTGGGCTGCTGTCTATGGGGTCACTAGGAGTCGGACACACTGAGTGACTTCACTTTCACTTTTCACTTTCATGCACTGGAGAAGGAAATGGCAACCCACTCCAGTGTTCTTGCCTGGAGAATCCCAGGGATGGGGGAGCCTGGTGGACTGCTGTCTATGGGGTCACACAGAGTCAGACATGACTGAAGCGACTTAGCAGCAGCAGCAGCAATGGCTATACAGAAGATAAAAATCTTTGTATTATGCTCTGATATGATCTTCCAAGCTATGTAAGCTTAGGCAAAATATTATACATTTCCATATGCAAAATACCAATGGGAATATTTTCAGTTCCTTCTTAGATGGGATTATGGTCTGATGGCTGGACAAGGAAGACCTTTTCTATATATTTAACAATTACTTGTGGAAAAAGCCCTACTGTCAGTGTATATATACTTTTATAAACTGAAAATATTCATTCAAAATTCAAAACAGTCTGTGTTTACCTGTGGTTAAAGGCAGGTGTGTGATGCTGTTCAAACAGGTCAGGGTGAACCACGTGGATGAGAGTGTAGCCCCAGAAAAGAGGAGGAGCAGAATTAGTTTCAGCATACCCCTGATAAAATCTGCAAACCTGAAAAGAAACAATGTATTAATCCTAGCTGGATTTTTAAAATACTCTTTACATCAATGACACACTGTCATTAAACAACAATATCTTGAAATATTTCAATGCATTCTTTTAAAATCAAGTTTTTATGTTTTTAAAAACTGATACATTTTATGTATTTGTGTGCATATGTATGTGATAAATGTTGCTCTGTGATTTTTCTTTTATAAAACACATAAAATGTGATCTCTGTTATGTATCTATTAATATAAGTTACAGGATAGATTCTGAGTTTTTAATTGCCACTTTTACTTTCTTTAAATATTTTTCTATAATTTCCAAATATCCTCTAATGAGCACATAATGTCCTAGTCTTAGAAAATGGGCCAATGTTGATAAAAACTTACAAAGACAGCTCTCCCAAAATTCAGTCACTTAGAGCCAAATACAAATCCTTATATCAGAGCCTTGGGGCCCTTCCTATGTGATCTGGTTTCTGCCTCCACTTTCCCTTTGCCTTTCTACTCTTCGCGTGCACAGCCCTGCTTCTGCTTCACCTACATACTAAGGTTGTTTCCCATGGCAGCTGCAGCTTCTGCCCCTGTCCTGGAATGCTGGCATCTCCAGACTGTCACATGACTTACTCCTGCTTACTCCTTAGGTCATTCAGGTCTCAGTTCAAGAAGGCTCTCCATGCTCATGGCCCTCCCCACTCCATCCTCACACTCTTTATTTTCTCCATAGCATTTATTGAAATATCTCTTGCTTTTGCATTTATTGTTTTTCTTCCCTATCAGACTGTAAGGTTTGTAAGAGCAAGAACATACCTCTAGAATAGTGAATTTATTCTACAAAATTTGTTCATAATGTTTCATAGCATTTTAAGTTCTTAAAAATCCTGCTTTGTCTTGAATTAACATGAAACTCCTGGTAGAGATACTTACTATTTAGTCATGACCAAAAACCTGTCCATTTGCCAGCTGTTTTTCCTCATCTGCTGATGAACCACTGATTGTATAAGCAAAATTGCCTGGCTCTGCCTGTACACAACTTACTCTGTCCTTCAGAATTGTTCCTATTGTAGAAAAACTGATCCCACCACAAATGTAACATTTACCATGTTTTCTCTTTGCTTTTGTAAAATAAATGTTAATTTCTATTGTAATGATATGACTTGCAATACTCTCTTTCATTTTGCACTTATTTGACATGATGTGGTTAGTCTTGTTTGTAGTGTTAGCTAGACTAAAATGACTTCCTATGAGACCTGATGCCATCTTTTGGTGGGAAAAATGGATGCACCTTTGCCCAGTGACTAGTTAGTTCTCTACTATGAAAGTTGACAAAAAGAAAATTCTTATGTACTCTGAAAAATGTTCCACAGCTTGATGAAAAGGCTCCTCAAGAAAATCCAAAAGCTTTGTGTTAATTCTATGCTCATTATTTTTTTGGTTTATATTAAGTGATGTGGCATGAACTTACTGGTGAGATAGGCAGATGGCTGGTATGAAAGAATAAAACAGTTTTCTGGTACAACCAGTTGAGTGAAGTTGAACAGTTAGTAAGTTTTCCAGGGCCTGATCACATAAGACTAAACTGACCACTCTGGTCCACCAATTTTGGAGACCTAGTCCTTTCAAATGGGCTAATACCATCAAAGTGTACTGTTAAGACCAAAATGGTACATTTAATAGTAACCTTTAGTAGTGTGTGAAAATGAAAGTGTTAGTCACTCAGTTGTGTCTGACTCCTTGCAATGCCATGAACTGTAGCCTGCCAGGCTCCTCTGTCCATGGAATTCTCCAGGCAAGAATACTGGAGTGGGTTGCCATTCCCTTCTCCAGGGGGATCTTCCCTACGCAGGGATGAAACCTGGGTCTTCTGCATTGTAGGCGTACTCTTTACCATCTGAACCACCAGGGAAGCCCAACCTTTAGTAACATAATCACACACATGAAAAAACCACCACCTAAAGCACTCATGTCTATAAGGAGATTCCATTCTAGGGACCCCAAAAAGGCTATTTTGAATATAATTTAAAAATTGATTTTAGGCTTAGGAGATATTACAATTGACTTTGGATTCCAGAGTAAGGGCTGTACTTTTTTAAAACTTCCATTTCAACAATTTAAAAACAGAAATGTCCTCATTCTAATTTTTCCCTCTAGTTCTATTTCCATAATGTTAAAATTAAAGGTTTGTAGAAAAAATACAGAGAAAGGCACATATAAGATGTCATTTCTGATACACAATGTGTCCCTCTTTGACCTATGTGATGCTCAGAAAAGGATTTGGTAAATGATGACTATCATTGGTCTGGAGATTTAATTACAAAAATTAGATAGGATTCTTATCAAAAGTGATAGTATCAGTGCAGTGATTTCATACAAATAGCTGTGCTCATATTCTTCTTTAGCTTTTTGATTTTATTATATTTCCTAACTTATAAAAACCTCAGAAAAAGTGATTTAGAAATAACAGTGTCAATTTATTCTTTTATTAGCCCAGAAACACTATGCAAACTGTAAGGTCTAGATATAATATTATCCTGTGTCAATTATGTTTAAGTATTTAGACAGACAGGTGCTTCACATATCTTACTTGATCTCCCCAAATATGTAGTTAGATTCTTCCCTTCCTGGTAAAGTTGATTACCCAATTTTGTTTTTGATTAAATGGGGTAAAATGATTTGGAAAGCGAATGAATATCATCTCACTGGAAACACCAAGAGTAGTTTTATAGGTAGTCACTTACATGAGTGACATTTTCATTCTTTTCTTTTTTTTAGAATAAATGAGATTTCCCCCTTATTCTGACTCATTCTAAAAATGTATTGTCATATTGGGTTAAGATTAAAGAGACTTTGATGAAACTCAAAGTCTTTATGGGCATTTTTCATCAAAATGGGATAACCATAGGGCCATACCTGTCAAAAAAGACCAGAAATAAATATTTGCTAATCAGGAAACTGACTTTCATGGAAAATTCTAGATATGCTCTTATGAATGATTCCCTTCAATTCTTTTCTACTTCTGGTAACTACCAATCTGCCTTTATTATTGTATCATCTTTCCTTGATTCCCATTTGTAGATGCTGTTCTTTAAAAATATGGAGAGGAAGCTTAATACACTGGAAATACACCTCTAGTCTCCAAGAACACTTTACAGTGGACTCATGAGAAGGTTTCTTGTAGCAGCAAATTCTACCTACTGTGTGTGGATTTTTTTATAGCCTGAACAAGTGTCCTTTTTTTGACTTTTGCCTGTTTTACTTTTCCTTAAATGTTAATGTTTATCTAGGGTAGCTGAATTTCCCTTTGGGCTTTTTTTTTTTATTCTGCTCGCTCACATGTTTACCATAAAATATTCTCACCTTGCCATAGCTATTCCAACAACACAGCCTCCAACTATGGACCAAAATCCAATCCAGCCAGCATCCACCTGTTAAGAAAGTGGTAGACACATTTAATACAAGATTATCATATTGCAGTTTAGAGCCATGGAAAAAATCATCTTTAATCAGTATGTTAATAGCTAAATGGCATCAAATCTAGGAAATACTATTTAAGAAAATGAATCAAATGAAAGGATTCATGTGTGACTAGTTAATACAAACTTATCTAAATAAATACCAGGAAACTACTAGGCAATAATTAAGTGCTAAAATGTCTGGTACAAGTCAAAATGTATTAAGAGAACATAGATGAGTGGGGGGAAAAGAGGGTTGCGGGTGGGAGAGAGAGAGAGAGAGAGAGAACAGGTTGAGTACCTGAAGAGACTAAGAAGTTGAGCTGGATTTCAAATGGACAGCTCATTCTACTCCTGAAGAAAACATTTCCAGCCCTGTCATTTACTAGCTTTGTGACTCTGGGCAAATTAGGTCTTCTTACCTATAACATGGACATGAGATAACTTGCACACAAACCTTAGATCAGCACTCAACATACAGGAAATGCTCAAAAAAGGTTAGAGCTGTGGTTGTTACCTGATGATGATGATCTAACATCTCGTCTCTCGTCTCTTCCCTACCTTCATGGACAAACTTACTCAGAGGAATCTACAAATGCTGCCTACGTTTCCTAATCACTCATGTAGCTTTAACTCTTACTATGACTTGGGTTCTGTCTCAATGCACACCCCATGTCTCAGTTTTCTCATTAGTAGGATGGGGATAATGAGGGTTTTTCTGAGAATTAAGAAGTTAATCAATGCAAAGTGCCAAATACCTGTTAGTTGTCAATACTTGACATTCCATGTGTTCTGAACAATACTGGTGCATCTGTCTTCTTTTTCTCCTTCCCCATCATGGGCATCCCAATTGCTTATTTTCTTATTTTGTACTTCTGGACTCTTGTACTAGCAATCTTTTTGTCCGCTATTTCCAGAATAATTATTTCAATCATTCCACTTCCCTGCTCAGAAACAGTTACTGGCTTTCTTTATGGTTACAGGACAAAGTCCAAACTTGCCCTGGCACTTGGGAGCTGCCCAAACTAAATTCCATCTCTTATTATTTTTCTAGTCATATCTTTCATTACAGATGTGATAGAACCGGTCAGCTGTCCACCAAAATATATCATATCTTATCCTGCCACGGCATTTAGCTAGTTTGCATGTTCTAGCCCATGGGCTACATGGGACCACATGACTAAGTTCTCATTAAAGGAAGTGGAAAAAACTGAGGTGTGCCATCTCTAGGCTAGAACCTAGAAGACAACTGTATGCCTCCTCCAATGCTTTCTTTCCCTCTCTGCCAGCTGGAATCTGGATGGTCAGCCAGCTTCACCCATGCATATAATGACAAGGCCTTAGGAGACAGAAGAGCTTCAAAGTGGAAGCAACCTAGGTGTCTAAATCAGTGTAAGCAAGAGGGCAATCCAAACTGTGAACAACTGTCCTAGATTATTAGGCAAACTGTCCTAGATAGCTATGTGAATGAGAAACAAATGTCTTCTTCAGTCTCAGAATTTCGGGATTCTTAGCCTACTCTTAGTATTACAATAACTTCACACAAATCTTCTTGCTCTACCAGTGTCTGGTGCCAGAAGCAAAGATAAATGTTCTCTGGAGAAAAATAACACCAGAGACTTAAATCATCTCTACATGTTTTCTTTCATCCTACTGGCATGTGGGGCAAGAGAGTTCTCTGTTCTTCAGAACTGCCCCTTTTCTTGCATTTAGCATTCATTAACACTATGGACTGAGGCCTATTATACAAGAGGTCCCCATAAACATTCTCATCTATCCTCTAGGTCCTGGGGTCCTGCATCAGGTGAAGAACCACTGTGTATCTGACTGTACTAACCCTGGTCCTTCCAGGTCATTTTCTGCTTTCTCTATTCATGATATTTGCTTTAGCTAATAACATTTTCCCCAATAATTAATTAATTTTTTTCTTTGCTTGAATTTAATTAATTAATTTGGGGCTGTGACACTTCTATGTGTTCACCAACCCAGAAGATCTGCTTTTACTTGACTTTAAATTTCATTTTATTTAATACCTGGTATGATTCAGTCTCTGTTATCTCTTAAGAGTTTGTACAGAGAGAGACACTTGGAAGGGCTTCTCAGGCTTTGTAACATGAATCATAAGATCTATAAACTCAGCATCATCTGAACTGGTGCTACATACACTTTTCTTTCCTGAAGCTGAGTATGCTTGGGATACCTGCCATCCAGAAAAAGAGGAAACTAAAAGGTTTTCTCCCTATAGTAAAGGTACATTAGGTAATTTGAGTTAATTTTCTGGTTGCAAAGCAGAAAATCTGGAGTGGGAAATCTGTCTGAAGGCAGCAGACAGTCAAGAAAGTAATTCATAATTCTGGAACCATGATATAAGATGAGAAGGAAGCCCGGGTATTAGGGGGCACTTTTTCCTTAGGGGTGTATCTACTGATTTCAGAAAACGTAGCTAAGGGGCTGAAAAGCTACTGACAGCCTCATGAATCTAGGAAGAAAAAAAATACGAGTTTGAGGCTTGCTCTTAGGTGCTTGGCCTTGTAGAAAACCCCAGGCTTTAGTCAAGGACTATACCTAAGAGCAGGCTTCCCTGGTGGCTTAGTCGGTAAAGAGTCTGCCTGCAATGCAGGAGACTGGGGTTCAATTCCTGGGTCAGGAAGATCCCCTGGAGAAGGAAATGGCAACCTACTCCAAAATTCCTGCCTGGGAAATCCCATGGATGGAAGGAGCCTGGCGGGCTACAATTCATGCGGTCGCAAGAGTCAGATACAACTTAGCAACTAAACCACTACCATGCCTAAGAGTGGTATAAGTTAGAAATGGAACTTAAAAAAAAAAAAGAGAAAGAAAGACATGGAACCATATTCTGAGGGACTAAAACCAGTTTTAAATGATCTCAATTCTTCAAACTGGATTAAGTGATCCTTAGACTCCTAAGAAAAAACATAAGTACTTTCTAGAGGAAAAGAATACCATTTCAAACTTCAGTTATTGCTACAACTTTTCATATACTATGTTGAGCACTCAGTCAAAAATAACTGAACACATAAGAAAACATGAATGAATATCACAAATATAAAGAGACCCACAAGAGATCTAGATAAAGGGATTAGGAAATATAGAGTTCAAATAACTATTTTTAATAGCTTCAAAAACAATAAAAGACAAGATCAAGCATTTCTACAAAATTTGGAAACTATGAAAAAGTATCAAATAAAAATTTTATAACTTAAGAATATAAAAGTTGAAGTTAACTCATAGGTGAGTTTAACAGCATATTAGAGCTGAAAACTGAAATTATAAATTGGAAGAAAAGCTAGGTAAAATATTCAGTTTGAACAGAGAAAGGCAAAGAATAGAAAATTCAGAACAGAGAGTAAAAGACCTAGGAAAGAAGTGTGAAAGTAGAACACATATGGCTAGAATTACTGAAGGAAAGAGAAATAGAGAAAATGAAACATAAACTTTGAAGGGACATAAGAATTTTCTGAAACTGATGAGACATCAAGCCATAGATTGAAGAAGTCCTACAAACCTTGAGCAGAACAAATGTGTTTCATTTTGAATTGCTTTTTACTTATTCTTATTTTTTAAATTGAAACATTGTTGATTTACAGTATTATATGAGTTTCAGGTGTAGAGCATGGTGATTCAGTATTTTTACAGATTATATTCCACTAAAAGTTATTGCAAAATAATGGCTCTAATTCTCTGTGCTATAAAATATGTCCTGTTGATTACCTATTTTATACATAGTAGTTTGTATTTCTTAGTCCCATACCCCTAACTTGTTTCTCCCCATTTTCTTCTTCCTTTTGGTAACCACAAGTTTGTTTTCTATATGAGTCTGTTTCTATTATGCATATACATTCATTTGTAATATTTTTTGATTCTGCATATAAGTGATATATCTGATTTACTTCACCAAGCATAATATTCTCCAGGTATATCCATGTTGTTGCAAACGGCAGAATTAATTCGCTTTTATGGCTGAGTAACACCCCATTGTGGGCATCCCAGGTGGCTCAGTGATAAAGAATCTGCCTGTAAAGCAGGAGCCGCAGAGGACGTGGGTTTGATCCCTGGGTCTGGAAGATCCTCTGGAGGAGGCAATGGCAACCCATTCCAGTATTCTTGCCAGGATAATCCCATGGACTATGGGTTAGCAAAGACTGAGCAACACGACTCAGCAACTAAGCATACACACATAGTAGAGGCTTATATGGAATGAAAGGGTTCTGAGGACCTTGGACAGTCCTGGAAGAGGTAAAAGTTCTAATATAATAGATGTTAATAAGTGAAATGTACATTCTGTATCCTCTAGGATAACTAAATAGTAAAAGAGACTAAAACTACCAAGCTAATAAAAGGAGAAAACAGAGTAGTAAAAAATACTTAATCCAGGAGAAAGAAGAGAAAAAGGATAGACTAGATTGGAAAAAAACTAAAACCAACAATAACGTGGTAGATCTAGACTCAAATCTATCAATAATTGCATTAACTGCAAATGGACTAAATATTCCAATTAAAACACAAAGATTATCAGACTGAAATAAAGGAAAAACGGTATCACAAGAAAACTAGATGGCTTTATCAGCGAAATCTACCAAATATTTACGGAAAAATAAAAGCCCCACACCATCAAACTTACATAAAATCTTTCAATAATAGATAAAGAGGAAACATTTCAGAAGTTCTTTTCTGAGACTAGCAAAATCTTGACACTAAAATTGAAATGCCAGGACAGGATAAAAAAAAACTATAGACTAACCTCATTCAGGAACATAAATGCAAAAAATCCTAAACAAAATGCAAACAAACTGAATTCAGTGATATATAAAGTATAGTAACTCACTGACAAAATGGATTTAGTACAGAAATGCACAGTAGTTTAACATTTTATAATCAACAAATGCAATTCACCATATCTCCAGTTTAACAGAGAAAAACCATATGATTACCTCAGTGGTGAATTTTACTAAATGTATTTTTCTCTAATTGTCATTAGTAACAACTGATATGAGATGTATGCAGAGAGGTGAAAATATCTATGGATAAATAAATAAGTGAATGTAATAAGGTTGCTGGATATAAAATGAGCTGTACTTCAATCACTTTCAAAAACCAACTATACTTCTACATGCCAGCCAACAAAAAGTAAGATTTTTAAAGTTACCAATTATAATAGCTTCAGAAAACATCAAATACCTGGTAATAAATCTAACAAATATATAGAAGGTGTTTTTGCAGAAAAGAGATTTAGAGAGACATTAGGTAAGTAAATGAAGAGAGATATAATGATCATGATTTTGAAGACTCACTATTACAAAAAAGCTAATTCTCCAGCTGAGCCAGAGATTCATAAAATTCTAATCAAAATGTCAAAGAGTATTTATTCTACTAGATACTAAAACTTATTATAAAACTAAAATACTTAAGACAATTTGGTAGTGGCAAAGAGACAGACAAATAGACTAGAGGAAAAAATAATTTAGAAACATCCATGCACATAAGGGCATTTCATTATGACAAAGATGACACTGGAGAGTAATGGGGAAAGAACGATCTTTTCAAAAATTGGTGTTAGGTTAATGAAGAACTATCTGGGAAAAAAGAAATTTAATCCCTACCTTATAACAAGCACAAAATTCAATTCTAAGTTTAAATGTGACAGGAATAACAATAAAGTTTCCAGAACATCACCGCTCAACAGAACTTTCTATGATGATGGAAATATTCTATGTCAACACTGTCTAATATGGTACCCATAAGCTTCAAGTGGCCACGAGCACTTGAAAAGAGGTTGGTGCTATTGAGGAAGTTAATTTTTCATTTTAATTTTATTTCAACTAGTTTAAGCTGGTTTAAACAATTCACATTAAATAGCCACATGTGACTAGCAGCTACTGTACTGGATAAGAGTTCTGCACGATAATATATGGGTTGGTGCTATTGAAGAAGTTAATTTTTCACTTAATTTTATTTAAACTAGTTTAAACTATTCAAATTAAATAGCCACATGTAACTAGAGGCTACTGTACTGGATAAGAGAGTTCTGCACAATAATATATGGGAATAGATTTATGAATTTCAAGCAAGAAAAGATTTCTCTCACTCTCTCTTTTGCAATACCATTTCTGCCTCAACTATCTCCAAATTGGTTTTTATGGACTACATCTTTTGTTTTTGTTTTTAAATAAGAACCATATTTTCCTATTTCTTTGTATGTCTAATTTTTTTAAAACTGTCTAGTATATATTGTGGATGATACAATATAGAGATTCTAGATTATCTTTCCTAAGAAAGTTGATTTTTGAGTCAGTATGCCATTAAATTAATGGCTGATCACCTTGAACTTGTGTAAGCTCAATTTTGTACTTTATTAGTGAAGAATATTAGAAACCAAGTTGCTTCTCAAGTTCTTTTCACCTGGCAGGCTTCAATCTCCACATCATGTCCTCTGCACATTTTTGTCAAGGCTTGGTTTTAGGTTTTGTTTGTGGTTGGTCCAAGAAGAATAGGCTTTACTCTATTGAGGGTATGGTCCTTGATTCTAAAGTTTGTTCTTTCTGGTGTCTCGACAGAAGCCTAAGATACTAACAAGTTGTTACCACTCTGGCTGGGCCAGAACCCCAAGGGTCCTGCATGCTTGCCCTCTACTATATTTGTCCTGCTTTCCACCCCACAGCAATCTCTAAGTCTCTGGTAGCTTTGCCTTTAACATGTGCAGTCCATTCCTCAGCCAAGCCTTCCTGGGGAGACCACTTTCACACAGCGCTCCTCTTTACAAATCAGTAAGAAAAAGGCAGCCAGGTAATGGGCAAGAAACTTGAACAGGTGTGTCATAAAAGAAGGATGTCACTTAAAAATCTGTCATGGAAGTCAATATAAGGGCATACAACAGCACAGTCATCAGCACATCTAAATTTAAAAAGATTAACATTGCCAAGTGCTGGTAATGATGTGCAGCAAGGAGAAACTTCATGTACCGCTGGTAGGACTACAAACTAAAACAACTACTTTGGAGGAGTTTGGCATCATCTATCAAAGCAGGCACACCCTGTAACTAGCAATTCCATTCCTAGATAGATATCCAGTAGAAATGCATATAGAAGTGCCCCAAAATATGAAAATATCCATATAGCACTGTTTATGACATCCTAGATATAGATATTCCAAATGTTCATCAAAAGAAGATTGGAAAAGTTGTTGTTTATTCATACCATGGATCAGCGTGCTAGATTTCTTCCATTTGACCTTTCTAGTCTCTCTACCCCTTTCTACCATGCCATTAGGAAGCAAGGAGAAGGAAAGGACGTTATCAAGCATATAGATGAAATGGTTATTTTTAAGCAAATGAGAGACTGAAGAGAAAGTGAGGAATTAGATGTATGAATTAGATGTATGAATAGCCTTATATTTAATGATGGGATCATCAGCTTTATAAACCAAGAATCAAGGATCCTAAGATTTTTTCATTCTTTATTTTTCTTTTATTAGCATCATTAATCATATGTGAAATTCATGGTGGTTAACAAAATCCAGGAAGAAAATCAATATTGTTTATAACTATTTCATAAAGATCTTCCTTTTGCAGCAGTGATATAGAATAATGCTTTACCTAGTCATTGAAGCTAAATGTAAGGACAGGTAGACAATACTCAGAATTTCAGTGAACTAAAAATACCTACAAGATATAAGAAATAAAACACTTACTTGGCTGACATGCACTGGTGTTAAAATTAAGTCCAGAACTCCAGACCAGCCAGCAAATACACCAAGTGGTATGGCATATGCTAAAGCAATCATCAAAAATCTCAAATTGCTGTAAAAGAGAAGAAAAAGAAAATATTATTACAAGTTCAAAATCTAGAATTTAAACTCTTGCTCATGAAAAACTAAGTCATTTGGAAATTGGAACACCAGAATCAGAAAATATTTGTCAGTTTAATAAATTTGAAGTTCCTTAATTTTTTTATTTTATATTTATCAGAATAATGGTTTTTGTTCACATTATTTAAAAATGTCACTGTTTATTATATAGCTGAATTACCAACAATATTTCATAGAATGAGTAGGCACCTTCACTTTTCTTTTTTAAAAGCTCTTATTTGTAAAGATAAATTACTGTTTCTTCTGATGAACAGGTGGAGGGAAAAAAAGATTAATGAACATTTAAACAAACTATCTACATCCAAACCACAGAATACAACTGAGCAATAAAAAGGAGCAACTACATACACAAAACAACCAGGATGAATCTCCAGAGAATTACAGTGGATGAAAAAATAGCTAACTCCAAAATTTTATGTACCATATGACTCAATTTATATAACATTCCTGAAGTGACATTATGGTAATGGGAAACAGATTAGCTGGCTGTCAGGGGTTATAGAGTGGGAGGGAAGTAGGTGTGGCTATAAAAGGGCAATAGGGGGGATCCTTGTGATGATGGAAATGTACTATATCTTTACAATATCAGTTGTTAATTTTCTGGTTTGTGATATTGCACTATAGTTTTGTAAGATGTTACCACTGGGGGAAACTGGGCAAAGGGCCCATGTTATTTCTTTGTATTATTTCTTAAAACTGCATGTGAATCTATAATTATCTCAAAATAAAGTTTAATTTTAAAATATAATAAGAGTTAGATATCATTCACAACAGCTTTAAAAAAAATTTTAAACTATAAAATATTTAGGAATAAACCAGGAAGACCCAAGATCTCTATGGGTGGAAGAGGGAACACAGGAGGGCACAGAAGACGATCTAAATAAATGGAAACAGAGTCCATGCTGTCAAGTTAACACCAATTCATCTATAATTCAGTGCGATCACAATTAAAATTCCAGGTGAATGTTTAAAAGAAATCTAAGAATAAAGTTCATGTGGGGAAATAAAAGTCCTTGGAAAGCTAACTCTCCCTTGAAAAATGTGAAAAAGGAAGTCCTTGTCCTACCAGATATGAAGACAAACTGCACATCTAGAGTAATAAATACAGTATGGTATTTGCTCAAGAACAAAGAGAACAGTGAAGGGAAAAAGAGACCCAAGACACAGAAACGCAACCTACAATAAGGGGGGCACTACAAAAATCAAATGGCTGAGGACTGTTCAGTGACTGGTACTAGTTCATTTTACGGAGAGGAAAAACCTCCCGGTATTTAATACCGTACACTAACATGGAGTCTAGGTAGACTGAACACGTAAGTGTGAAAGAAAAAGAACAGGAAGTTATAAATAAGACATTCACTGAGAAAATTAGTAAACAGATGACATAATGGGAAAAGATATTTGAACTTCTAAAAATCAACAGGGAATTTATATCTAGAATATGTAAATCATTAAGAAAAAGAAACTACCACTGAGACATGGGTAGAATCTATGAAGAGGAATTTATAGTAGATAAAACCTAAATGGCAAACAACTACATGAGAGTCTCAAACTTACTAATAACCATAAAATACATATTAAACAAAAGATATATTTACTTTTACCCACTAGACTAGTGAAAATTAGAAAGATGGATAATGCCAAGTTTGGCAAGCATATAGAAAATGGGTATTGCTGATGCAAGTATAGACAAGTGTAGACATTTTTTTAGAGCAATTTGACAATACTTGGCAAATTCAGCTTAAAACATCTGATGATAAAGCAATGCTGTGTGAGGTCTGTTTTCCAAAGAAGTCTTAGGTCTACAGTGATGCATATTAGGATGTCACTGCAGTGTTATTTGTGGTGACAATGAGCTGGAGGCAGAGTACACAATGGGAATGGGTATAAAAAATGTGATGGTTTCATACCACAGAGTACAGAGAACTAGGTATACACATAGCAGAGAGATGTATCTTGAAAACAGAGCACTACTACCACAAAATCAGAGTTATCCAGATATTACGTGCCTTCTGATGGAAGAAGACAGCATGAGGTAGTTCAGTAAAATCAAAACCAAAACCTGAATTAGAATGCAGTTCGAGCTAACAATTTATAGGAAATACAGAGGGCAGAGAGGCAAACTACTCTACACAGAGATGATCAACATACTCCAGACCTTGGAGACAGAGAGCTGGCTCCTCAACAAACAATTACAAAGAAATGGGAGGGAGATGGAAGGAAACCTAGATATTATAAGGAATTTGAGCCAATTGCAATGCATGGATCCAATCTAGATCCTGACTTAAACAAACAAAAAGCATTTATGACATTTATGAGACAACTGAAACACCAATTTGATAGTAGCAAACTACTGCTAAAATGTTTTCAGTGTAACAATGGTAACGTATTTATGGAACATTTAAAAGAGTTCCTATCTTTTTAACATAAACATGTTAAAATATATGTGGATGAAATGATTTATCATTTGGGATTTGCTTCATGATACAGGAAGAGGGAAGTGTACAAATGAAACAATATTGGCCACAAAGTGGTAATTGTTGATATTTGGTTATGTGGATATGGAGGTTATACTGTTCTACCTTCTTATTTCCAAAATAAAAAGCATTTTATAAAAACCACATAGTGTTTAGTGAAAAAAGTCAAACAGAATGAGATACAAAATATGTCACTGTTTAGATAAAAATAGAAGCATACAAAACAATACAAATGTTACAAAAGCACAAAGAGATACACATAAAATGCATTTGAAAGGTGGCCTAGGTAGGGAAAAGGGAATGGGAGTGAGAAATATAAAGAAAAGAATGAATGAATGAATGAATGAATGAATGAATAAAGGTGTTCATGTATCCTGAAGCAAGGAACATGTTCAACTTAACTCTCTACTCTTTTAAGTCTAAAAGCCAAAAACAACCACCATCATCAAAGATTAAACTGATATATAAAGGGAGAGAAATGTTTACATTAGGTTACACAGGTCATATACATCTGAAGTGATGGGAATCATGTGGACAGTAAGTAAATAATGGAAACTTTGAAGCGTAACCAATGATTTTTTTTTCTGCCTAGACAATGGAATTAGAATCTAGAGAAGCAGTTATTCTGATTAATCTAGGAAGCAATGATATCAGAAATTCTTTGAAGGACTAGGGATTTGAATTACACAGGTAGGTTAGGGAAATGGACCATGGCATGTCCAAAGAAGTCCCCCGGAGAGCCCAAAGCAGAAGTAGGCAATTCTGCAGAGTAAACAAACGAACATGGGAAGAGAAAAAGGAATGTTAGGCGCTGGTGTGCTGCTGCTGCTGCTGCGTCCCATCAGTCGTGTCCGACTCTGTGAGACCCCATGGACGGCGGCCCAACAGGCTCCTCTGTCCCTGGGACTCTCCAGGCAAGAGTACTAGAGTGGGTTGCCATTGCCTTCTCCAAGGCACTGGTGTAAAGGGGTTTTAATTGAGAAGAAAGATCTTACACTCTGTAGTTTAAACAGAGAATAACCATCTTGACTCTAGGGTAATTAGAAACAAACACAAAGTGGTTTGTTGTGGTCAAAGTGATCATCATTTTAAGCTGTTTTTTCCTTCTCAGAACAGTCTTTTCGATAACTCCTTACCTTAAAACCCTGCTATGCCTCCTCACTTCCCACAGAATAGTTTGAAATTATTAGGATGGCATAATCTGACCTTAACCTACCTCTCTAGCTTACCTATTGCTCTCTAACCTTTAGCTTTGCATGGGAAAAACTTGGTTAAATAGCATTAGGAAAAAAACAAACCTATCATTTTAACTCTCTTACAAATGTGTGCCACTGATCACAAGTCAACTGAACTAATATTCTTACTTTGCCTATTATGTGGAAGGCAATTTACTAGAAGCTGTAGATGTGGTTTTCAAAACTTTTTACTATATTCCAGAGTAAGAAATATTTACTTAGTGACTTACAGTACATAGAGATTCAGTATCTATGTACTGAAACAAAAGTATCACTCCAAAATATGTATTATTTTTGTGTGATATAACAATAGTTTCTGTTATATTTTATCTCTTTCTTTTCTTTTTTTAATTTTATTCCTTTCTATTCTGTTTAACAAGAAAAGGTGGTCGGCCTACTAAATTAGTTGGCTATAAATCAAAGTCTGAGAAACAATGTTACATAGCTATGCTACCTAACATGGTAGTCACTTGTACAATATGGCTATTGAGCATATGAAATGTGACTAGTGCAACTGAGGAACTAATATTTAATTTCATTTCTTTTAATTAATTTAAATTCAATTTAAAAACACAGTGAAGAGAAATTTTCCATTAAACACAGCTTTACTTTTTGGCAGAAGTACATTTCACCTTAACTACTATACTGAGTAAGACACTATCGTAGTGTGTACATGGTAGCATATGTTGTTTCTAGTATTATAAACTGTTAATGATCTTATTGGTGTCAATGAACTAACTAACTCAGTTCTAACTTTTTTTACATACTAACACTGTAATTTGTTTATGAATATTTTATGCAGAAAGAAAATATGTGTGAGACTGAAAATACGTTGCAAATTTCACAATGGTAAATGTAACTTATTGCAGCAGAGTAAAAGTGATGTCTGTTGTATAAAAAAAATTTTAGGATAATTAAGTGGATAATATTAAGGGATATGTTCAACAAATACACAGTGAATTTTATAAGAAGCTTCTTCCTAAAGTCAAAAACGAATCAAGAAAATTAGTTGTCTGAAATCTGAATTCAACATTTTTAATTGATTTTTACCAAATATGAGCCTATACTTTGGTCAACTATAAAATGGTTTGGATTTCTGCACAAAAACAAAAACATTTTTAGATGGAGAGATGGTAAAGGAAATTATTTTATCTATGGAAGTTTTGTTTAAAATTATGAAGAGAAAAAAGTATTCTACAGAAGTAAAAGATCTTCAGTTAAGGCCCAAACAACTGCCTATAGAATATAAGACCTTTCAAATAATATAAAAAATGTGTTGATTCAAAATTTGAAAAATTGCAAGTAGTTATCTTTAACTTTAGACAAACAGTGCAATATGGGAGATACTGTGCAATGAAAACTTTAATAGTAAACTTAATGAAATCTAAATGCAGACTGAGTATTTCTAATGTAAATTTAGCATTTAAATTGAGATGTGCTATAAATATAAAATACACACTGGATTTCAAAGATTTTCTATGAATAAAAGGATATAAAGCATCTCATTAATAATCTTGGAATACTATGTGTTGAAATAAAACTTTAAATGTACTGAGTTAAATAAAATATTAATAAATATTATTAATACTATTAAAATTAATTTTACCTGTTTCTACTTTTTAAAATAAGTCTACTAACAGATTTAAATTTATGTATGTGGCTCCCATTATATTCCTATTGGACATTAATATAGATGATAAAAAGATAGTTCTTGACCACAAGCTACTTACCATCTGTGGGAGATAGGAAGACTAGAAAAGAAAGAACTAACCACGGAGAGTTGTTGATGAATCAATAAAAACTCATCACAACTAACTACAGAAAAAATTCAGAAGATAAAATCTAGTGGCCCAATTACAAATCACAATCACCGGCGATGGTTTGCATATCCAAGGAATCAAATTCACTACTGGGCCTTCAAGTATTTGAAGTCTTCAAGAATATAATCTAATTACTTTTAAGTTGTACCAATAAACAATTAAATTTCTCAAAGTATGATCCCACTGGAGGTTCAAGATGATTTTAAGTGATATGAAACAAATATTATTTATTTTATTTACTGTGTATTAACTAGCACTTGTTTATTTTCATATGCATTAAGAAATATATAATGAATAAAATAATTTGTGTATTAGGAAAAATATAATAATCACATAAGACCCATGATTTCACACCACTATGTGATGTTTCCTTATAAAAGAAAATTATTTAAATAAAAGATTTGATTTTAAAAATATTAAGCAAATAACAGTATAAGGGTTAATACAGAGAAAGCAAAAGTTATAAAGGTTTTTCCTTTAAGCAATCTTTAAAGATAGATTTCTGATAGGAAATCCCTCTAAAATATTTAATCAGTATTTTATCAATTATTTACAGCCTGATAAATAGGTTGTTGAAAAACTACTGTCTTAAATTATCTGAGACAAATGTGAAATTATCCTAAAGGTGCTAACCAAAACCACTCAGTGACTTTAAGTATATTTACCTTAATAACCTACAAAAGCTCCGTCGATAACTCAGCCGCTGGCTAGCTGCAGCAACACTGGGAGGAAGAGGTGGTCGAGGTGGGAAATAAGCTAGAGTTGCAGAAAATAGTAAGCAGACACCTCCAAATTCTGAAAAACAAAACAAAAAAAGTAAAATGTTAATCAGACAACATAAAAAGTTCAACATTTCAAGTATTTCTTTAACAAATATTTATTGAGCTGATGCAGCTTTAGATATATTGTTGTTGTTGCTCAGTCACTCAGTCGTGTCCAATTCTTTGCAATCCCACGGATGGTAGCATGCAAGGCTTCCCTGTCCTTCACCATTTCCTGGAATTTGCTCAAACTCATGTCCACTGAGTCTGTGATGCCATTCAACCATCTCATCCTCTGTTGTCCCCTTCTCCTCCTGCCTTCAATCTTTCCCAGCATCAGGGTCTTTTCCAATGGGTCGACTCTTCCTATCAGATGGCCGAAGTATTGGAGTTTCTGCTTCAGCATCAGTTTTTCCAATGAATATTCAGGGTTGATTTCTTTTAAGATTGACTGGTTTGATATTCTTGCAGTCCAAGGGACTTTCAAGAGTCTTTTCCAACACCACAGTTCTTCAGCACTCAGTCTTCTTTATGGTCCAACTCTCACATCTGTACATGACTACTGGAAAAACCATAGCTTTGACTATGTGGACATTTGTCGACAAAGTAATATCTCTGCTTTTTAATACACTGTCTAGGTTAACCATAGCTCTTCTTCAAAGGAGCAAGTGTCTTTTAATTTCATGGCTGCAGTCACCATCTGCAGTGATTTTTGGAGCCCAAGAAAATAAAGTCTGTCACTGTTTCCATTGTCTCCCCATCAATTTGCCATGAAGTGATGGGCCCAGGTGTCATGATCTTCGTTTTCTGAATGTTGAGTTTTAAGCCAGTTTTTTACTCTCCTCTTTCACCTTCATCAAGACGCTCTTTAGTTTCACTTCATTTTCTGCCATAAGGGTGATGTCATCTACATATCTGAGGTTATTAATATCTTTCCCAACAATCTTGATTCCAGCTTGAGCTTCTTCCAGGCCAGCATTTTGCATGATATCCTCTGCATACAAGTTAAATAAGCTGGGTGACAATATACATATATAGATATATACAGATGTATCTATAAATGTATATACAGATAAATACAGATAAGCAAATAGTTATATACAGATAAGTAAAATATAGTATCTGCCTAGACAACAGCCCAGTCTTGTGAGAAAGATTGACATGCAAAGATATAACTTTCAGCAGGTAAGAAGTCATACAAGGAAATAAGTATGGCAGACTTATGGTATGGTACACTATATAAAAAGAGGATTGAAGCAGTAAACAAATGTTACTCTATGGAGAAAACCCATTAAAAGCCAACAGTATTATCTATAACAGAGATCTTTAAACAGGCCTAGGATGATTGTTTTATAAGCATGGTCCTCAAAAATAAAGACCAGGCTAGAAAATTGGTAAGATTAGGACAGGAAAAGGTTTGTTTGATCAATGGTAGGATATTCTAATGCTTTGTGTAGAACAGACTTAATATATAGGCTTTATGTGAAATCTGAACAAGACAGGGAAGCATCCAAAAAAAACAAAAAAAGAAACCAAGAGACAGCAAAATTTAACAAACACAAGACTAGCTAATGTAGGCTATTAAACAATCAAAGGGCTTCCCTGGTGGCTCAGTGGTAAAGAATCTGCTTGCAATGCAGGAGCCACAAGAGATGCAAGTTTGATCTCTGGGTTGGGAAGATCCCCTAGAGAACTGCATGGCAACCCACTTCAGTATTCTTGCCTGGAGAATCCCATAGATAATGGAGCCTGGTAGGCTACAGTTCACAGGGTCACAAAGAGTCAGACATGACTTAGCACACACACGCACAGGAAACAAAGAAAAGTAAAATGAACATCTGATCAATCTTAGTTTGGGCACTATTATAGAAGGAAAAGTTCCTAGGAGTCCTGATCTTTCCCTCCAGAATTCTGGCACATGGAAGTCCCAGCTTTTAACTGTGCTCAATTTAGTAGAAAAGCATGACTCTAATAGAGAAGTCAGGAAACCTTGGAGTATAGACCAGTATATCCCATTAGCTAACTTATAAACTGAATGAATTCCTTACTCTTTCTGGGCCAATAAAGGGAATAGATTAAGTGATTTCTAGATGTTCTTTCAGTAGGATAATTCTAACTCTAGGGCTATATTCTTAGCAAAAAGGTACAATATTTCTATAAGACACTAACCACAAACAATGTCTTTATTTTTTGTCAATCTTAGGAACAAATTTAATGTATTGTTTTAATTTACAGTCCTTTTATTTTGAGTAAAAATGAATAAGCATCTTCCATATGCTTATTGGCCATTTGCATTTCTTCTGTGATAGCCTTATTTGTATTCTTTGTCCATCTTTCTACCGGCATTTTTGTAAACAGCTTCACTGAGATATAATTCACAAGATATATAATTCACAAATTTAAAGTGCATAATTCAATGAGTTTTACAATCATCACCACAGGTTTACAACTTTTCCATCATCCTCCAAAGAAACTCTGTCAGTTCAGTCGCTCAGTCATGTCTGACTCTTTGCGACCCCAAATACTGCAGCATGCCAGGCCTCCCTGTCCATCACCAACTCCCAGAGTCCACCCAAACCCATGTCCATCAAGTCGGTGATGCCATCCAACCATCTCATCCTCTGTCGTCCCCTTCTCCTCCTGCCCTCAATCTTTCCCAGCATCAGGGTCTTTTCCACTGAGTCAGCTCTTCACATCAGGTGGCCAAAGTATTGGAGTTTCAGCTTCATCATCAGTCCTTCCAATGAATATTCAGGACTGATTTCCTTTAGGATGGACTGGTTGGATCTCTTTGTAATCCAAGGGACTCTCAAGAGTCTTCTCCAGTACCACAGTTCGAAAGCATCAATTCTATGGTACTCAGCTTTCTTTATAGTCCAACTCTCACATCCATACATGACTACTGTAAAAACCATACCTTTGACTAGATGGACTTTTGTTGGTAAGGTAATGTTTCTGCTTTTTAATATGCTGTCTAGGTTGGTCATAGCTTTTCTGACAAGGAGCAAGCGTCTTTTAATTTCATGGCTGTAAGGGAAGCCCATTAATAATACTGCTGCAGAGTCCATCTGCAGTGATTTTGGAGCCCCCCAAAATAAAGTCTGTCACTGTTTCCATTGTTTCCCCAACTGTTTACCATGAAGGGATGGGACCAGATGCCATGATCTTAGTTTTTGGAATGTTGAGTTTTAAACCAATTTTTTAACTCTCCTTTTTCACTTTCATCAAGAAGCTCTTTAGTTCTTCTTTACTTTCTGCCATAAAGGTGGTGTCATCTGTGTTATCTGAGGTTATTGATATTTCTTCCAGCAATCTTGATTCCAACTTCTGCATCATCCAGCCCAGCATTATGCATGATGTACTCTCCATATAAGTTAAATAAGCAGGGTGACAATATACAGCCTTGACATACTCCTTTTCTGATTTGGAACCAGTCTGCTGTTCCATGTCCAGTTTTAATTGTTGCTTCTTGACCTGCATATACATTTCTCAAGAGGCAGGTATGGTGGTCTGGTATTCCCATCTCTTTCAGAATTTTCCAGTTTGTTGTGATCCACACAGTCAAAGGCTTTGGCGTGGCCAATAAAGCAGAAATAGACGTTTTTCTGGAACTCTCTTACTTTTTCGATGATCCAGTGGATGTTGGTGATTTGACCTCTGGTTCCTCTACTTTTTCTAAATCCAGCTTGAACATCTGGAAGTTCACAGTTTATGTACTATTGATGGCTGGCTTGGAGAATTTTGAGCATTACTTTGCTAGTGTGTGAGATGAGTGCAACTGTGTGGTAGTTTGAACATTCTTTGGCATTGCCTTTCTTTGGGATTGGAATGAAAACTGATCATTTCCAGTCCTGTGGCCACTGCTGAGTTTTCCAAATTTACTGGCATTATGAGTGCAGTATTTTCCCAGCATCATCCTTTAGGATTTGAAAGAGCTCAACTGGAATTCCATCACCTCCACTAGCTTTGTTCATAGTGATACTTCCTAAGGTCCACTTGACTTCGCATTTCAGGATATCTGGCTCTAGGTGAGTGATCATACCATCGTGGTTATCTGGGTCATGAAGATCTTTCTTGTATAGTTCTTCTGTGTATTCCTGACACCTCTTCTTCTTCTGCTTCTGTTAGGTCCGTACCATTTCTGCCCTCTTTTGTGCCCATCTTTGCATGAAATACTCCCTTGGTATCTCTAATTTTCTTGAAGAGATCTCTAGTCTTTCTCATTCTATTGTTTTCCTCTTTCTTTGCACTGATCACTGAGGAAGGCTTTCTTATCTCTTCTTGCTATTCTTTAGAACTCTGCATTCAATTGGGTATATCTTTCCTTTTCTCCTTTGCATTTTGCTTCTCTTCTTTTCTCAGCTATTTGTAAGTCCTCCTCAGACAACCATTTTGCCTTTTGGCATTTCTTTTTCTTGGGGATGGTTTTGATCCCTGCCTCCTGTACAATGTCTCGAACCATGGTCCACAGTTCTTCAAGCACTCTGTCTATCAGATCTAATCCCTTGAATCTATTTCTCACTTCCACTGTATAATCGTAAGGGATTTGATTTGGGTAGTACCTGAATGGTCTAGTGATTTTCCCTACTTTCTTCAATTTAAGTCTGAATTTCACAATAAAGAGTTCATGATCTGAGCCACAGTCAGCTCCCAGTCTTGTTTTTTCTGACTGTATAGAGCTTCTTCACCCTCGGCTGCAAAGAACATAGTCAGTCTGATTTCGGTATTGACCATCTGGTGATGTCCATGTGTAGAGTCTTCTCTTGTGTTGTTGGAAAAGGGTGTTTGATATGACCAGTGAGTTCTTTTGGCAAAACTCTTAGCCTTTGCCCTGCTTCGTTTTGTACTCCAAAGCCACATTTTACTCCAGGTATCTCTTGACTTCCTACTTTTGCATTCCAGTCCCCTATAAAGAAGAGGACATCTTTTTTGGGTGCTAGTTCTAGAAGGTCTTTAAGTCTTCATAGAACCATTCAACTTCAGCTTCTTCAGCATTACTGGTCAGGGCATAGACTTGGATTACTGTGATACTGAATAATTTCCCAGCCCTATGGAATCATTAATCTTCTTTCAATCTCTATGGATTTGAGTACTATGGACATTTCTTACAAATGGAATCTCATAATATGTAGTCTTTTGTGACTGGCCTCTTTTACTTAGCTTATTATTTTCAAGATTCACCCATGTTGGAGCAGTACTTTATCTTTTTTGCCAAATAATATTCCATTGAATGGATATATCACATTTTAAAATCCACTTAGTTAACTGATATTTGGATTGTTTCTACTTTTTGACTATAATGAATATAGTTACTATGAATATTTGTGTACAAATCTCTGAATGGATGTATGCTGTCATCTCTTTAGGCATATACCTAGAAATAGAACTGGTGGGTCATATTGTAATTTATGTTTAACATTTTGAGAAACTGCCAAACTATTTCCAAAGTGGTTGTACCCTTTTATATTCCTACCAGCAATGTATGAGGGTTCCAATTTCTCCACTTTCTCATCAACATTTGTTACTGTATTTTCCATTTTACTGATTATAGTCACCCTACTAGGTTGTAAAGTTTATCTTGTTACAGTTTTGATTTGCATTTTCCTAATGACTAATGACAATGAGTATCTTTTCATGTGCTTGTTGGCCATTTGTATATCTTCTATGGAAAAATGTCTATTTCAAGTCTTTTGCCCATTTGTTAATCGAACTGATTTTTTTGTTGCTGGATTCTAACAGTTTTTTAAAATATGTTCTGGATACAAGTTCCTTATCAGATATATGATTTACAATTATTTTCTCCCACTCTGTCGGTTGTCTTGTCACTTTGTTGATGGTATCTTTTGAAGCACAAGAGTTCAATTTTAATGAATTCCAATGTTTCTATTTTCCTCTTTTGCCATTTGCACTCTCAGTGTCATTTTTAAAAAGGATTCACCTAACGCAAGACATGAACGCTTATTCCTATGTTTCTTCTCAGTTCAGTTCAGTTCAGTCACTCAGTTGTGTCCGACTCTTTGTGACCCCAAGAACCGCAGCATGCCAGGCCTCCCTGTCCATCACCAACTCCCGGAGTCCACCCAAACCCATGTCCATCAAGTCGGTGATGCCATCCAACCATCTCATCCTCTTTCGTCCCCTTCTCCTCCTGCCCTCAATCTTTCCCAGCATCAGGGTCCTTTCAAATGAGTTAGCTCTTCGCATCAGGTGGTCAAAGTAGTAGAGTTTCAGCTTCAACATGAGTCCTTCCAATGAACACCCAGGACCGATCTCCTTTAGGACTGGTTGGATCTCCTTGCAGTCCAAGGGACTCTCAAGAGTCTTCTCCAACACCACAGTTCAAAAGCATTTTAGTTCTTTCATTTAGGCTTATGATCTATTTTGAGTTAATTTTTATACATGGGGAAAGGAAGGGATTCAAATTGATTCTTTTGCATGTGGCTATCCAGTTATTCCAATATCACTTGTTGAAGACTATTCTTTCCCTTTTGAATTGGCTTGGCACTGTTGTCAAAAGTCAATTGACTATAATAAAAAAAGTTGAAAAGTCATTTCACTATAAATGTAATGGTTTATTTTTTGGAATCTCACTTCTGTTCTGTTGATTTATATGTCTGTCATTATACCAGTACCATGTTGTCTTGATCAGTGCAGCTTTGCAGTAAGTTTTGAAACTAGGAATTGTGAGTTCTCCAATGTTATTCCTTTTCAAGGCTGTTTTGACTATTCTGAGTCCCTTGCATTTCCATACAAATTTTAGGATGTTTGTCAATTTCTGTAACAAAGGCAGCTAAATATTAATTGAGATTGTATTTAATTTGTAGATACATGTGGGGAGTATTACCATCTTCAATATTAAAACTTCCAACACATGAACAGGATGTCTTTCCATTTCTTTAGGTCTTCTTTAATTGTTTCCAACAGTGCCTTGTAGTATTCAGAGTGCTCGTTTTATGCTTATTTTCTTGAATTTATTCCTGAATATTTTATTCTTTTTGAGGCTATTGCAAATGCACTGTTTCCCTAATTACATATTTGGACTGTTCATTACAAGTGTATAGAAATATAGTTGATTTTTATATATTAGTCTTGAATCCTAAAATTTTTTTTTTAGGATGAGCTTGTTCATTTTTGCTGAATTTGTTTCTTAGATCTACTAGTCTTTTTTAGTAATTTACAGAGGATTTTTATATATTCAAGATAATGCCATTTTCAACAGAGATAGTTTTACTTCCTCCTTTCTCATCTAGACCACTTTTACTTCTTTTTCTTACTCAATGATCCTGTTCTAGGGGGGATGCATTTAGTCTTTGACCATTAAATATGATCTTGTCTATGGGTTTTTCATAGATGCCCTAATATTATTAGGTTGAGGGAGTTCCTGTCTATTTCTAATTTGGGGATGTTTTTATCTTAAAACGGTGCTGGATTTGTCAAATGCTTTTTTTTCCCCCCATCTATTAAGATGATCACATAGTTTTTCTCCTTTATTCTATTAACATATTATATTAATTGGATTTTGAGTGTAAAACCAACTTGTATTCCAGGGATAAAACCCATTTGGTGGTGGTATATAATCCTTATTATGTTACTGGATTTGGTTTGCTAGTATTTTGTTCAGGACTTATGTGCCTATGTGTATTGGTCTACAGCTTACTTACAATGTCTTTGTTTGCAATAATTTTAGTTTAAGAATCATTAATCTTTTAAGGTCATGATTCTAAGCAAACTCTTTTTTAATGGAAAGAAGGGTCATGGGACATTACCTCAGGGAAACAAATGGGAAGATATGAAAGCACTGAAGCAATAGCTGGAAGCTTTGAATAGGGATTTCTGCTTGACGACCTGGGAATCATTAGCCAGAGGATGTAGAGCATTAATACATGCCCAATAGTGCCTAAAATCCAGTCATTTAAAAGACACAACAACTGCCTAAGCTTTCAGTAAAAAGAAATGATATAACCAAAATAAAGTTTAAAATTTGTTTTACCTACTTTCGGTTTTATTATTCTTACATTTCAGCTTCTTTCTGTAAAAAGAGTGAATTGTCTACAGGGAGCTTTATTTACCACCACCACCTCTAATTTCACTTTTACCTCCTCAAAATCAGATTTTTGAGATATAAATTCCATCATATAGCTCTCTAGTGTAGAAGTCCGTGGAGTGTGGCCTTTGCCTACAGCCTGGTGAACTTCAAACCCTTTGCCTCTGCTTAGAGGGCTTGCATGGCCTCACTGACCTCTCCAGCTCCATCTTCACCGCTCTAACCAGATCTAAGCCACTCCGGGCCTTCAGCTGCTTGTCTGTAGCAGGCTCTCCCCTCTTACTGGAGGCTTCTCCTCCATGGTACGCTCTCTCTAATCTGTTCTTCCTCCTGCCCATTATATTTGGCTAACTCTCTCTCATTCCATAGGTTCCAAATTATATTATCTGCCTTCAGGAAGCTCTATTTGACCTCCAAAATCTGGTTAGCTGCTTCTCCTCTGAGCAATCGAAGCAATTGTAGGTCTTTTGTTTTAGCCCTTAGCACCTTGTTTTACAACTGCTTGTCTGTCTGTATGCTTTGAGACACTGAAAGTCCTGTCTGGGCAGGAACTATGTTTACCTCAGTGCCTAGAACACTTATAGATGATAGGAGCTCAAAATATGTTTGTTAAGTTAATAAGTAAATACATGAACTAATACGAAGTTCATCATAATATGGTCCTTTACCTTTTCAGTCTCATTTTCTGTCACTTGCTACCTACACCGAAACACATACTTACACTACTCTCGTCACACAAAATTACAGGCAGTTCCCTGGACATACTGAGCTCTCGTATACCTTCTCTGCCCTTCTATGAGGGACAGCTTAACTCACTTGAACATTCAGTGAACACCTGTGAAATTCTTAGTTTTAATTATCACATTCCTAGTGAAGTCTTCCCTGACTCCTCAACTTCTCCCCAAAGCCAGGTCAGTTAGGCTTCCCAAGCTCTGTATATCCTTATTTGTATTGTAATGACCTCATCAGTGATCTTGTCAATCCCCAGTGCTTACCATGGTGTTTGGTACATACTGAAACACTTACAAAAAGTTTTCTGAATGTAGAAGAAAATAATGAACAGGCGTATGGGGAGAGGCAATATACTTAAGATTTAAGGGTGGGCTAGGGCTTGAGTCTAAAATAAAGAGAAAGGACCTAGAAAATGTTTTGAAAAGGTCAACATCCCTTATTAATAGACTAAACATACAGAGTAGGAAATGAAAAGGAAAATCATGGCTGATCTACATTTATGAAGTTAGAGAACATGGCCAATAACAGGAAACTACAGGGAGAAAATGGACTTAACACCTACTGATAGAGGCTTAACAAACATGTATCATGAACTGTTATGCTCAGTTCTTTTACACTGATATCTAGAAAAGACTCTAGACAAGGTGTTATACAGTGCTTAACTGTAAATGGATGGGAAGAGTAAAGTTAAGAAATAACCTTTCATGTAGCAATAATACATTTTAAACTTACTACACTTCCTAGAAAGGGTAAGTTTTAAATAGGCATCTCCATATTATATAAAAGGTAAGCACATACATGAATATGTATGGATTAGTCCTCTATTTTATAAGAAATGATCTGGTATACAAAAAGTAAAGTGAAAATGACAGGGATAAAAGACAAAATATAACAGGAAGAAAATAAACTTTGAAATACCTGCATATAATACAGTCTCTATGAGATCTTTAATGTGGGCCCTGCTATTCTCTGAAGCAAGAAGAGGTGCTGTCCCATTGGGAGCTGGAACGACAAGTGGTCCAACTAAAAACGCACAAGCTCCCCCGAGGTAACTGAGCATCGACGCGATAGCTGTGGCAGTGGCCCGCTCGTCTGCAGAGAACCATGTTGTGGAGAGGAATGGAGCTGCGTTCATTACAGTTGGACCTGCCAATCCATTTAACAGCTGTCCTCCATGGATTAGTCTGGAATCAAACAAATTAAAAGGCTGTGAGGTAGCTAAAATAGGCATCTTCTAGACAAAAAGAAGTTAGCCAACAGTGTTTACTACAGCAATAAGAATACGTATCTATAAAGAATAAGAGACACCTGAAAGGTAAAGTATGGTGACTCTGTGAGGGAAATCAAATACACCAATCTGATTCTCCAGGCAAGAACACTGGAGTGGGTTGCCATTTCCTCCTCCAGGGGATCTTTCTGACCCAGAAATCGAACCTGTATCTTTTAAGTCTTCTGCATTAGCAAGCAGGTTCTTTACCACTAGCGCCACCTAGGGAGCCCCAAATACACGAATAACTGCATATAATCATAATACAGCAATGCTGTTGCTGCTGCTGCTAAGTCACTTCAATTGCGTCCGACTCTGTGTGACCCCATGGACAACAGCCCACCAGGCTCCCCCGTCCCTTGGATTCTCCAGGCAAGAACACTGGAGTGGGTTGCCATTTCCTTCTCCAATGCATGAAAGTGAAAAGTGAAAGTGAAGTCGCTCAGTCATGTCTGACTCTTAGCGACCCCATGGACCGCAGCCTACCAGGCTCCTCCATCCATGGGATTTTCCAGGCAAGAGTACTGGAGTGGGTTGCCATTGCCTTCTCCGGATACACCAATGGTCACCCCTTATTCATTTCACAAATATTTACTGAAGCCTGTGATTTGTGCCATGTACCAAAGTAAATACTTTCAATAACCTTGTTTTATTTGTTATCACAACATTATATGCAAGATATTATTATCTCCATTTATTGAAATGTGAAAGCTTTGGCTCAGAAATATAAAAAAACTTGCCCAAGTGCTAACAGGCTGAGATTCAGACCCAGGTCTGACTCCCAATTCCATATCTTAGGAGACTGCCATTTATAGACACCTAGTAAGTGCCTTCAGCCCTACAAATAACACAAATGAGCTCAATATTTCACACGTACTCTCTGCAGGATAACAGAAATACAAAAAAGGAAAAATAAACATTATAGAATCTTCTAATGGAAGAGGAACTGGTCAAGGAATCAGAAGATTTGGTCTGCACCTAATTACTTTAATGCTCCTGGGTAATATGTCTTTGTGGGATTCCATTCCTTCTCCCATAAAATGAAGAGATTAGTTTAATTTCAGTCTGCATGCCGTGAGTATTTGTTAGGTGAAGGTACTATAATTACAGATCCCTAGGTCCTTTCCAGTCTCAGACTTTAATTGCAAGGCTCAGTGAAGAGTAGTTCCCGTATTCTGTTCAGTGCTCTGTCCTGTTCGCTGATGAACACAGAACCTGAAAACCCTTTTCCCACATTTCTTTTTCCACCCCCAACATAAACATTCACATTCAAAAGTAGCCTTGAAGGAGAAAAGAAGTCAGAAGTTCAAAAAGTACAGAAACGAGACGGACGGGGACACGACGTAGCATCCTGCTTATCTATGAAATGCAGTTAACACATCAGCTGGACCTATTTCCTGAATACAGGGTGACCCTTCTGTTATTTAAAGATGTAAAAAATGCTGCGGGCTTGAGAAAAAAGGCTATGGAAGGTGCCATTGATGGCTTATTAATAAATCCTACAGTGATTGTTGATACATTTCAGGTAATTGTGGCTGCAAACAAAGCAGTTCACCTCTACAAACTGGGGAAATGCAGACAAGAACTCTATCTACTCAAGTTATTTTCAATCTTTCCCCAAATAACAATATTTCAGAGGTCTTGAAAAAATTTGGTATCTCAGCAAATGATACTTCAATTCTGATTGCTTATATTGAAGAGGGTGAAAAACAAATAAATCAAGAATACCTAATATCTCAGGCAGAAGGTCATCAGGTTCCTCTGAAAAATCTCCCTGAAATAACAAATATTACAGAAGTCAAAAAGGTATATAAACTATCTTCACAAGAAGAAAGTACTGGAACATTATTGGATGGTATCATTTGTAGAATGTCAACAAAAGATGTTTTGTGAAATGACAGAAATATTTAAAAATTTTCAGCTTTTATTTAAAAAAAAAAACAAAAAACAAAAAAGCACAGACAAAAAAAAGGGAAGTGAGTCAACCTCTTCTCCTTTGGAGGTAAAGGAAATGAAAGGAACAGTATTCATGATATATATACACTACTTTTTTTTCTGTTCCTTTTGCTTTTTAATCACTGTGTGGGTGTTAGATCTTCCTTTTAACAAGTACCACCTTGATAAAAGTTTTCTGAATGTAGAAGGGAAAATAAACAGGCATGTGGGTAGAGGTAGGGCTCTTAATGTAGAAGCATAAGTGAGTGGGAAGTAGAATATGTGAATTACGTCTGCTCAAACCTTTGTACATGTTGGAAAAATTACTTAAAGACAAAGTAGCTTCCAGAATCATTAATATTACTAAATTTAGGGAACCAAAGACATTTAAAAACATGCTCATGTAAGGGGAACTATTTTCTAAATGACAAAAACACAATTAAACTGTTTATAAACCAAATACCTCCTCCAAATGCCAGAGGATCCCCAGCTGTCACACAGCAATTTCATCATAGAAATATTCTTGAAACACTGTCATTAAGTGGTTTTAATCATGACTCCCTTAATCATGACTGTGACGGTACGACAATCAAACAATGCATGACGGCTTATAATGGTAGCTGCTGTGATATTTAACACCTTTAATGAGGTGTTCCTGAAAGACTCATCCCATCTAGAAGAAGGACTGGAATGAGCAAGTCTTATTATGCCTAAAGATTATGTTAAGAGTGGAAGGAGAACATGGAAAGAACAATCTATCAAAAAAAAGAACACTTGCCTGGTGACCCCGACTCAGGGGAACCAGGCTCGGTTCCTGGTCGGGGAACTAGATCCCACAAGCCACAAATAGGAGTTCACAGGCTGCAACTCAAGATCTCGTGTGCCAGAACTAGACCCAGTGCAGACAAATAAATAAAGAAATATTTTTTAAAAACCACTTGATAGAACAGAATGAATCCTGAAAATTAAGGTGTAAAACTCAAATAATTGACATGGCTCAACTTTTGCTACCTCTCAGTGGAATCATGAAAAGATTATTTTCCAAGCAGCAAATGTACATGTCATATGAGGATCATCATAGTCCAGTTTACTCAATGCACAGATCAGGATATTTCTAACACATGTATACCTGCTAAAGTCATATCGAGAGCACATATGGTACTAAGGACAATTCGGATGGCTTCTAAGTCTAAAAGGTCACCAAACTTGGGATTGCTGGGGTCTTTGTGCATCTACAACATGGATTATCAAAGTGAAAAATCACAGTGAAAAACATGCTGATTTGGTGTTTAAAAATTATTCTAATTTAAATAATTATGTGCTTTTTTTTTTGCATTAAAAGTCATCATACATATATGCACTCCTCATAAATGAGTTCAGTAGGAGAACTGGAACTTACAGGATCGGGGGTTATCCTCTGAATTCATGGGAAATCTGGCAGGGAAATCCAGTCCCTGCTCTTCCTAGCATATTTAAATCTTCCAGAACTTAGTTATCTTCCTTCCTGAACTTGTATCCTACAATCCCTCAGGACTTGTCACTTACTAATTGGTTATAAGCACTGTCATCTGGTGACCATGGCATAACACCAATCTGTAATGTAAAGATTTTCATGTTTGCCTGACATAGGTTTCTGTCGCCTACCATTAACTTACCCTGTTTTAAGAAATTAATTTGTTTGTAAAAGTATATTTAGAAATAAAATTAAGTTACCTATATATACATACACACACATATATAAAGTCTAGTTTTTCCATTTAATAGTAATACAAAATTAGAGGTATGTTTTTTCCTGAAAAAGTGTTGGCCCTAAGACACAATAAAACCATACAAAACATTACCATAAATTCTTTAGAAATGACAATTAAGAAGAGGAAATAATTATAAATTCTTCAATACAAGCTGTGTGTTGTTTAATTCATTCAACCAACATGTACTGAGTATTCACTGCGTATTGGGTAGGGGCTGTGATAGCAATAGGTGCATGGGAATTTAAAATTAAAAAGCTAAAACTCTTTAAGTAGAGTAGCCGAAGAGTCACTTACCAGCACTATATTAGGAATATAAAGACAAATAAGGCAATAACTAGTCTAAGCTTGTGAGGCCTGTGATAAGACTGTCAATGGTGGTCCACCTTCCTTGTCCTCTGACCTCTGACTGGCCTATAACACAGGGGCTTCACATGTTCGCACATGGACCTGAAGGTCCAATCCCATCCAAGCTCCATCTATCCCCTTCCAAACAGCTGCCCCTTAGCTACCCTTCCGGCCCAGGGAGCACACCCCAGGGACGCAGTTCATCCTTGGAAGAACAGACCTGGGAAAGAGGCAGTGCAGGGACTGCTGGGGTCTTGTGTAGCTAGGAAGAGGTGATGGGCAGGGCAGACACACCTCTTTGGCTCTATAGACTCCTCACCCCATAGGGAACGGCAAAGCTGAGGGAAAGCCACAGTGGAACCCCCTCAGGCATGGAGTCTAGGACAAGGACTTGCTGGCACTGGCAACAACAGCGGGTACAGAAAAGAGACGGTTTGGAGGGCTGCTGAGGTGGTACAATAGGTATGGTTACGTGAATGACTAGGTGTGGGGGGTGATATTCATAATTCTGTACAAATGTCCAGTTAAGTGCTTGACTACAGGTCACAGGCTAAGGAAAGAGGTCTGAGATGAGACATATATGATGGGGTTGAGGAAGAAACTTTGGAGGACCATAACCTTTAAACAGAGGAAGGGGAGTCTAGAAAGACAACTGAGAAGGAGCAATTACAGAGGTAGAAAAAAAATAAAACCAAGAAAGGCTGGTGTCATAGTAACTAAGAAGAAAAGGGTTTTAAAAAGTGGAAAGTGAGGTGCCAATAGTTTCAAATCAAACAGAAAGAGGGTTTAACTGAAATGTAAGCTCCTCGGTAACAAGGAGGTCTTCCATGATCTGGGCAGAGGCAGTTTCAGCAGACTGTTGAGGATGGAAGTCAGACATGTAAGA